CATGTAGCGGTTTGTGACCCCTGCTTGGCTATATCAGCGAAGAACAATCCATGGCAAAGACTTGTGCTTGTACTGCACTTATTGCCTTATCCACGAATATTGTTCCCTGTTTCAGACTCAACGTGTGATCCTCTGTTCTCCTAGACTTTGTGTGTTTTCTGGCACCTGGCCCAGCAGCACTACTATGTCTGTCCTTTTCAGGAGGGTTCAGACCCTTCTATTGCAGTGCTAGAAGGATGCATGTAGGCCAATTGCCCACTATTGGAGCTAATTTTTTAAAAGATTTTTATTATTTATTTATGAATACAAGAGCTACGGTACAGGCCAGAGGTGTGAGGGGTGAAAGGATTCACCAGAGACAGAGTGGGGAACAGAACAGGCAGACTGACCGAAGTACACTGCTGAGGGGAGCAGCGGGCAAGTCAGGAGAGGTCTGCTTCTCCATATGGGTAATCCCTGGCCAGCTGGGGATCGAACTCGCACTACAGAGTCTTGTACTGCAGAGGCTGTGGACAGGTTCATAGGTTGTGTATTACCCCCTTGATCCACCAGGGAGGCCCTATTGGAGCTAATTTTTGCTCTGTCCCTTTTCTGTGTGAGTGGAGCATTGTTCGTGTAGTGCTTGATTGTGTTTTCCTGGAGAATTCAATACAAACAGGTCACTGAGAAGGTGGACAGAAGTGTTTGGACTTCTCCTGGTGATAGGCAGCAGGTGTTACTTGCTTGATATTCATTGGGATAGTTTTCTCTCTTGAAGTTGAAAACTCAGAGCTTTCACTATTCTATTGCCATTGCCAAATTTCTCTAATCTCTCAGGTAAACCCAGAGATTTCTCTCCCTTCCCCTCTCACCTGTATCTATCATCACAATACATGTGGGTTTTTGTAGTTTTTGTTTTATTGCCTGAGTGTGTATGTTTGTGTGTGCATGCATGTTTAAGTCCTGTCTTTAGACTCAGATTGACTCCACAAAAGCAAAGTAATCTGAAGGTTTAATAGAAATTCTTTAGGTAGCCTGATGCTTCAAGGTGCATGATTACCATCCCCGTCCATGCTTCTCAAATTTTAACAGGGAAAAAAAAATCATCTGAGCATCTTGTTAAAATGTAGGTTCTATTTCAGAAGATCCAGGATGGGGCTAGAGATTCTTATTCCTAATTAGCCCTTTGGTAATTTGAGAAGGAAAGTATTAGGTATGCGTCACTAGTTCTCTCCGGGAAGATGTCAGGTCAGTGCATGTGGGAATGTTCTGACAGATCCCTGACTTGTTAGATGGTGAAGATGTGTTTTGCAAGAGCTCAACTCAAATTCTAAATTTACTCCAACAGATTAACTTAAAGTCAAGCTTGATTTTATTAATATACAAAGCTGGTATTTTCTTAGTCCATCTTCACGTACTTTCTGAGTACTGATTTGGCCTCGTACTTGGTTAGATAGTAATGACTTACAACAGAAACATGGGATTAGTTCAGGGGAACCAAACTTAGACTTTGAAGAAGAATGAGAGGTGATGGTTTTAGGAGGGCTCCCCAAATTTGTCATTCCACCAATATCTTCTTTTCCCATTGCCTTGATAGTTTTTTGGTTGGTTGTTTTTGGCTTTCTGAAACATCATACTCCTCTTTGAAATGTCAGATTATTTTCCTCTATGTTGTTTTAATTGGGAGTTCTCAAAATGTGGTCTCAGGGGACACCTTAGTGCTTAAGATATTTTCGATGGGGTCTGAGAGATTGAAACTATTATCATAATAAGATTGAGTGGCTACTGGCCTTTGTCATGTTCATTCTCTGACAAATGTATGGTGGCATATTCTATAAGGAAATGTGTCAACATGGATGTGAACCAGTATTTTCCAAATGACCAATGCACAGTGTTAAAAAAATTATGCATAAATGAAAGATCTCTTCACAATACAAGAGACCTACAAAAAGTAAGTTTATTTATATAGCTTTACATTCTTCCTGGCACCTGGGCTTTAAGGACCTACCACTAGCAGAGTTTCCTTGTAGTGTCAGAGAATACTCTCCACAATCACCCAAAAAGACAGTAAAGTGTTCTTCCCTATCCCAACTACACATCTGTATGAGGCTGGATTTTCTTCATAGACCTTAATGAAAATGATATATCACAATGAATCAAATGTAGAAACAAGAAAGATAAACTCATGCCATTTGCAGCAACATGGATGGCGCTGGAAGGGATCATGCTCAGTGAAATAAGCCAGAAAGAAACAGAAAAATACCGGATGGTCTCACTCATAGCAGGAATTTAGAAAACCTAAATAAGGGGCCAGGAAAAAGACTAATTATAATAAAGAAAAAATCAAAATCAATAAGCAGCTATAAACCAGAGACACACTATGGGGCGGTGGGGAGGAGAGGAGGGACTTGGGTCAAAATAAGTGGGGGCAGAACCGGATGGGGAATACAACCAAAATGAAAATGCGTACATTGTGCAAAAAGGAAAATGATGTAAGAATTAAAAAAAAAAATTATGAATTGAGAAACCATTCAGAGCCATTCAGAGTGCTGATTAAAGTAATTCACGTTAAAAAAAAAATGTAGAAACAGAGGTTGGGAATGTAGCAGAGACAAGACAATAAAGAGCTTTACAAAAAATGTAAAGCAATGCCACTCTTTTCACTAAATTACTTGGACAAATATAGTTATTTTTTTAAAAAAGTTATACAAACACATAATGGATTTATTATTGCTATTTTTAATTGAGTTATTTTAAAAATCTTTAAAAGTGTTTACAATTTTAATGTGTAATATGGTAAATTTTGACCAGCATAATTCACATAAACAAGTGTTCTTTGTGGCTTGCAATCATTTTCAAGAGTATAAAGGAATCCTGAGACCAAAATTTTGAGAGTTTCTTCTTTAGCAACTCATCTTGGTTTTTATCCCAAATCCATTACACAGATCTGTGAAGTTGCTGGAGCATTTATCAAAGTCCAGATGCTTTGTTAAGTGTTTTACATTGAATTTAGCTATTGTTAACTGTGGAATGTGGGTCTAATATTCACATTCACAGTCAAGGAAATCGAGGGATAGAAACTTGCCCAGCATCATCCAGCTAGGAAGTAGTAAGAGAAAAATTTAAAATTAAGTGTCTAACTCCAGAAGTCTCACTTTTAAAATTTTAAAGCCCGGCTCAGCTGAAAAACAAATAAACAAGGCATCTGGAAAATTCCTTTTTATGAACTTACTTCACTGTCTTTGAAGAGCAGTGTGTGAGACAGGTTCACCTTGCATGTACTCTGATCTTTTGCTGAATCTTGTCCCTGTTCACTCAACCCATCTCTGGGCACAGAAGCCTGGGAAATGAAGACTCCCCCATCCCCTCCCGTGTTCCCTCACCCTTAATCCACCGCACTATGGGCTTGGCCTTATTCTGTGTTCCTTTTTCAGCACCTTCTCGTCTCCAGGTCTCTTCCAAATGTGTGTTTCTCGGTCCTCCAGCGGATGCTCAACTATCACTCTGTGGCTGAGCCTGAATAAGCACCTGGGGTGCGGGATTTGATGGAGGGTGCATTTGGCAGGAAAGCCAGGCTCGGAGGGGGCTACCACGTGGTGTGTCTCACAGCCCAGATACTCAGAGAGGAGCCTTCTTCTCTGGGTCCCCGGAGCCCCCGCAAGCACCCCATGGGAGCCTGTTTCATCGGAACTTGGTGATCACCTTAGCACAACTGTTCTAAGTTGTGAAAATGAATTTGCTGGGGGCCTCAAGTTTGTGTGAAGGCAATCAGCATTTCAAACACACCATCTGCAGTTCTCTCATAATATGAGTACTGTAAATATTTACTTAAGCTTCCTCCAGCCTCCATTGCCATTTCAGAAACAAGAAAATTGTTCAAGAGGCCAGATTTTCACACATAGTATTCATAAAGGGTACCATGGGCAGAGCGTGTAAACATCTCTGCCCTGCAATTTAACTCTTAGTAGAAATTGCTTCTTTGTGACTGAGATGACATTTCAGATTAGAAATGGCAAGCTATGACATTCAACTAATTTGCCCAAAGTCACACAGTTAGTAAATGACTTAGGAATCAGACAGAACTTGGTTTAAATCCCAGCCTTGATAGTAGCTATTTGTGCAATTTCAGCACATTGCTTAATGCCTCTAAGCCGTGATCCCTCTGTCATATGGGAACGGGGTTGTGTGATGATTAAAAAAAGTAAGGAATGTCAAGTTCTGAACAGAGTTCTGGCACATAACATGGACTTGATGAATCCAGCTACATGATAATGATATGTTTCCCTCGATTATAGTTCTGCTGCGCCTTTCTTTTCTCATGATCTTTCTCTTACCTGCGGACACCAATGGGCAGGAAGCTGCCTGTGTTCCATCAATGCCTAGCATGACATCTAATATTTGGGGTATCTTGTTAGTGTTTGAATGAATGATTGAACAGATGGATAGGTGGTAAGATTATGATATAGGAGTTTTTCACCGATTGCTGAGTTTCTAAATTGAAATGCTGGAAAAATGTGTAAATAATATCTGAGGTTTGCTACTGGGGCCATTGCTGTTGGCAATGGCCAACTAGGTTGCCAGAGGTCTGTGGGCAGGAAAGCGGCCAACCCTTGCTGGAGGTCTATTAAAGTGATTCTGTGTGTAGTTGGCTTTCAAACTATGTGACTTACAGGGAACAAATTTGTCCCAGCTTGTCTGAGTTTATGTCATGAATATGTTGATTCTTTTGGATTAGGTAGTATAATTGGAGTGAGAGAGAAAGAGAGAGCACCATCTATGTATTTCCCCTTCTTGAGTCACATGGGAAGAGTCAGTATTACTATTAAATGGATGGGTGGCTTTCTTCCATGAAGTCACTCAAGGGCCCAAGTTCATATAGGTTTGCCAGATCACCCCAGGAATGATCTCCCCTCCTACCAGCTGAATGGGGAAATTAGAAGACCTGGGGAGGAGCTGTATGGGAGGTGTTCATGGGCCAGACTACAGTAGCAGTAATTAATCTGTCTCTATCGCTTGGCCAGAAGTCAGTCCCATGGCCACACCTGGCTGCAAGAGTGTCTAGGAGATGGAACGCCCGACTGGCCGCCCCCCTCCGGTGACAAATGTGTGTGATCAGGTAAGGAGAACAGAGACATCTGCTGAACTGAACTGTGAACTGCCTTTGCCAGAGCTTTCAAGGAGGCACTATCACTGGAGAGGGCAGGTGAGTGCAAAGTCATTCGTGCTAGCTCCCGGAAGGCCAGTCTCAACAGGAAAACTCTACCCCAGAAAGGGTGTGGGAAGAAGGCTCAGCACTGCCAAGTGGTGGAGAACATGAGGGGTCACAGCGATCGTCGTAGAGTCCTAGGTTCCTGACTGAGAAAAACCAGGCTTAAGGAGGACATGGAAGAAATGCAAGCTAGAGGCATAAGATCTTTGAAGTCATGCTTATGCAGAGGAAAAGAAATGGCCACCTTACAGAAAAGCCAGGGGGTGCTGTAGGGGAACTTTACAGAGGTTTGGGGGCTCCACTCAGGTTCATGAGCTGTGGAGAGAGACTAGGGACACGTGTCCCCCTTCACAGATTTTCCTCCTCTGAGGCGACTCAGGCTCATTATGTCTCTAGGTAGATTTTATAGTTCTGGATCTGAGCCTAAAAGTTGCATGTGGTTTTCAAATACTTATTTTATCACACTCCACGATTACTTCCATTTTGTGTGGCTAACATTTGAGTCTTTTCAGATTTAGTAGGGATATAAAAGGTTTAAATAAGCCCAATATCAGATGTGTCTGGGATTCTATTTCTTGCATGCACACTGTAAATAAACGCTGATGAAAAATATTTCAGTTCCAAACTCTGCCACTAAAATCCTACAAATATGCACATTAAAGCCCTATAATCCCACAAAAGCCTTTTTACTTGTAAATAACACTATCTTGTTTTCCATCTCAAATTTCTTCTCCTGTAATTACACAATATTTGGTTTCCCCTTTTTAGGCAATTCAAATTAAAACTTATTTCATTTCATAATTACAAACATTCATTTTGAGTAAAGACTAATCTGATGGGAATTTGGTTCCAGTGATATTGTAACCCAGACTGGTAACAGCAAAGCAATCCATCTCTTGACTAATGTCTCGGAATCTTTTACACTGTACTCCAGCTAAACGTTTGCATTTGGAAAGCTTGATCCTTTTCCCTGAAATAATAATGCTTTATTAAGAGCACTGTGTGATTTGATTTTTTTTTTTTAAAGTAATGACTTAAATCAAAGACTTCAAGATATAAAGAATTTAAAGAGCAAGCCATTTCACCCTCTTAGATTTGGGTTATTTTATAAGTCCCTGGAGTTCAGGAGTAGAATGTTGCTTGGAAAATGTTCATTATTAAGTTCATTTTCAACTGTTTCCTGAAAGTGCAGAAAGAAAATATTCTTTGTCTGGATATCATAATAAGTGGTAATTTTGAAATATTAGATAAAGTGTGTTATTACTGCTCTGAATGTGTGGACCGGAGAAAAGGAGCATGCTGCTGGATATTTAGGGGATGGATGGTTCATATCTAGGGGAACACAGTCCTTATTAACTAAAAATCACACCAAAAAATGGTCAAATGGAGTGTTTGCAGGGTGATCCCGGTTAATCCTCTGCAGTGTAAAAACAATCCTAAAACGTAGTGGTTTAAAACAGTGATTTTTTTTTTTTTTTGTCTTAAAAAACACAATTTATTGCCTCTTGGTCCTGGACACTAGAAGGTCAAATCAAGGTGTTGTCAGATTGGCTCCTACTGAAGACTTGGAGGAAGAATCTTTTCCCTGCCTGTGTTGTGTGTTGTAGTGCCTGCTATTTGCTGGCCATTTCTGGCCTTCCTTATAGAGGGCATTTTCCCTGCATGAATGAATGATTCTCATGGTTTCTCTGTGCTGGGAGCTGATGATCTCATTTGGGCAATGCTTGCTGCTTGGGCTCATTTGTGTGGCTGTGACTGACAGTGGCTGAGGCTGGGGGCACCTGAATCCTTCATTGCTCACATGTATGGCCCTTTGACTGGACTTGCTTGGGTTGGGGTGGGCATCCAGCTCACCAGAAGCTGGTGATCAGCAATCAGTGAGTATTTTAAAAATGATGAAAGTTTTAACAGTTCTTTAACTCTTTATATACTATTTATTCAACAAATAAATCTACAAAATCTTGAATTGCGTGAAGGACATTTTTTCAAAAACATGCAAACAGTGATGAATGGTTAAAGCTAAGATTTCTAAATATTTAATTAAAGTTAATCTAGTTTATTATATTCTTGTAAATATTTTAACCACTGTAGAAGCAGATGTGATCTGCCTGTGATCACACCTATGATATGTGTTTCTATGACGTGAACGTGTTTCTCAGGGTCCTGCATGAAAGCCTAGCATGAAAATGCTAAAAGGCTTATTTTTTTCTTCAGTATCTTGATTCTTATTCTGTTTCTGTTTTCCCTGGTAATATGGTTTTGTCTATTTGCTTATCTGGAGATTCACAGTAGCCTTCTTTGACTTACTGAGGTTGTGGATACGGGGTGATATCCCTTTGTCCCCAGACATCCTCTCTCAGTCAGAGCTCTGGATCTTCTACCCCTGCTTTATTTTTCTGCCTTACATTTTTATCTGATATGCACATTTATTTGTTTAATGTCTCCATATCAGGCTAGCATGTAAGTGCTCTGAGGGCAGATATTGGTTGTCTGTTCTGCTCACTGCTGTTTTCATGTGTCCAAAGCAGCACCTCTGACACAGTTGTTGCTCACAAAAATTTACAGAATGAGCACATAATGAATTGTCTACAGAGCATGTGAATTAGCCCAGGGCTCTCTGAGTCTCTTCTCTAGGGATTCTGTGTCGGCTGCCCCGTTGGGTGGGTACCCATCTGTCATCTTTTTTGGGTGACCTGTTCAAGTTATTAGCTTTGACCAAACCAGTATTTTTATTCTTCTTGATCAAACAATCCCTCTAGAATCACACTGATTTATATCCTGCCTTACAGAACCCTTGGAGTGTATTTTAGAGTTCCTTATTCTGAACCGGGGCTTAGTATTTTTCAGTTACATCCAAAGCTTTGAGTCGGTTTGGTGTCTTGAAATGGCAAATTTCTTTCCCACTGACCATTAAGACCTATAATATTAAAACCTGCATCACATGGTCTAAAGGACTAAATGGGATAATCCATAGAAGGTGAACAAAACTGAGCCTGGCACATATTAAACTCTTATATTATTCTTATCAACAATGCTATTTTTGTTACTAGTCTTGCTAAAAGGAGAGTTATTTTCTCTGTGGGTGTTTATGAGGAAGGCTTTCTCTTAGTCTGAATGACAGGATATTTTTTTGTGTATTTGCACCTATAGAGACCTGGGTCAGGTCTCCCATAATGAGGGGCTTAGCAAATTCAGGAAAATGCATAATTAATGAATCCTAGAATAGTAAAAAAAATGCTTCCTACTTTCCTTTCCTCTCTGCACAGCTGCTTGACCCGCAGATGATGGAAGCACAAATGTACAAGAGACTAATATTGGCCAAGCACATAGCATGTGCTGTGAAATCTGCTGGGTGATGTCCAACTGTTACTTATTCATTCCAACCAACAATCAACTGAGATATGAGTTTATTTAATAGACATCAGATTTTTAATTGCATTTTATGGATATGGAAGCTGTGCTAACAAGCTTCAGAATAAGGGTCAGAACTCAGTCAACTTTTCCCCACTGTACTTGTTTTAATGGGAGGACAGTGCCCTTGAAGATCATGTTGATGACTCTTTGCTTGTTCTTATGGCTTTGCCAGTTGATGATCTTTTCAATTCCATTAAATAATACTTTATTATTGAGTTTTTATTCAATTCTTACTGAGTATATTTTCCAAATGAAAACTTGCATCCATTATGGCCAGGACCTAATGACAGCTACATGGATGCAAATAGTGTTTATTTGTTGAATAGACTAGGAACTTAAATATAATAATAGCCTTTTACACTAATATAAATATGCTAGTATTTGAAGAAGATATTGTCCTAAAAATGGAGGTCAGGGCCTCCTTGGTGGTGCAAGGGGTTAAGACACAACCTATGAAGCAGTCCGCAGCCACGCAGCACAAGTTCGATCTCCAGATGGCCAGGAAGCAACCCACATGGCTCAGCAGACCTCTCCTGTCTCGCCTGCTGCTCCCCTCAGCAGTGTATTTCAGTCAGTCTGCCTTTCACTCATTCTATTCCCCACTGTGTCTCTGGTGAATCCTCTCACCATCCACACCTCTGGCCTGTACCCCAGTTCTCGTATGCATAAATAAATAAATCTTAAAAAAAAACCTCTCACCTTCCTGTGCCTCTAGCCTGTACCCCAGTTCTTATATAAGTAAAAAAATCTTTAAAAAAAATTTAAATGGATATTATAAAATTATCATCCAGAATGATTGTAGTAATTTATGCCTTATATATCTTATACACATGGCTTCATTGATGCCTTCAGCTTTTAAAATATCTACCAATATTTTCAGCAAATACTGCTTTAGTGTGCATTAATTTGTTAATGGAATTGTGTTTTTTATTTGCTTATTAACTATACAATTTCATGTGTTTTGTGAATTCCCATTTATATTTTTGGACAGTTTTCTATTCAGATTTTTTTCTTGTTCATTTGTAGAATTTTTTATACTAGAGATAGTAACCATGACTATTATGTGTTAAAATATATGTTTTGCATAGTCTATCATTTGTCTTTCAACTTTGACCACAGAATCCATTTTCCTAGCAAAACTACTTTGTAAATGTCATCTCAAGGGAGAACATAATCTGTTATGAATGTTGGTTTGATAATAACAGTATTAAATAAATATGTTTAATGAGTGAAATAATACTCACAGAACTAAATTATCCTCTGGAAATAATACCTATTTCAGCATATGGGAGGCCTAACCCTAAAAGGCTTACCAATTTTTCATCTGCCAAAGGTATCATCCTGTATCATAAACAGCATGATCATTTTTGAAGAAATTTGCTTCAAAGTAAAATGAAAACAGCAATATTTTAGTGTGCATTGGCATATAAACGCAGGTTCTAGAGTTGCTATATAAGAGAGTGCAAAGGAAAACCCTCCTTTAGTTTCTCAAAACAAACAAACAAACAAGAAAACAAGCAAACAAACAAACACCTCTTCCCAGCTACCAAACAAACTGACACATCATTTTCTTTCACTTGTCAGTCATTTGCATTGTTGGCCCAGGAGGGATTATTATTCAGCAGATTGAGGTGGTAGTAGTGGGGTAGTAGGAAAAGTCTGGGTTTTACCACTTGTTACCTGTAATTACTTGAAAAATTTACTTAACTCCTCAGCTTCAGTTTCTCCTCTGTATCATCATTCATTCATTCATTTGACCATGGAACTACAATGGTGACCTCATAGCACACAAAGAATAAATGAAATAAGCACCAGTTATGATGCTTTCTGGGGAGGAATTAAGCTAGGGAGGATGGAGGATGACAGGTGTACTGTGGGGATGACAGGTATGTTTGGAGGCTGGTTGGAGATGACTCTCTGAGGCAGGCACAGTCCAACCAGGCTGAGGGGCCTGGGATAGGAAATAATTTAGCATGTTCAAAGAGCCCAAAATGCCTCAAACTCAGGATTGAGAGAGAGCTTGGGACGGGATCCCGGAGGGCTTGCTGCACCACACGGAGGAGTTTGGGTTTTATTCTAAGTGCAATGTAAAACCACGGGAGGCTTTTAAACCAGAGAATTTCCAAATGTTAGAAGATCACTTTACTGTTCTGAGAATGGATTAAAGAGGTGAGAGGGGAGGCAGGGAAGCCACTAAGGAGACTGCTGCATTAGTCAGGGGAGAAAGAATCTTTATTTAATTATGACCCACAGAATTTGTTAGGCACCAGGGCAGACACAAACTGCTCACTTCCCTAACTCCCTTTTGTTCCTGGGGCTTCAGAGGTTTGGAGGGGGAGATGCCATTTCACCAAGTTCCAGGATGGAAGTGTTCTTTCTTTCAGTGGTTTTGAAAATTGAGTGGAAGTGGTCATGGGAAGCAAGCCATTGTATTGTGGGTTTATTTCAGCTGAAGTGTCCTAGGATTATCCATCCCAAGCATCTACAGCTTGGGATTTGTGTTAGCTTCTTGGGGCTGTCCTAGCAACGCACCATACATTGGGTGGCTCACACAATAGAAATGCGTTTTCTCAGAATTCCGGGAACTTGTAGCATGAGGGCAAAGTGTCAGCTGGGTTGTTTTCATCGGAGGCCTCTCTCCTGGGATCAGAGGCAGCTGCCTCCTCCCTTGTCTTCACAGGATCCTTTCCTGTGCCTCTCTGTGTATTAATCCTCTCTTCTCCTAAGGACCCCAGTCATATGGGATCAGGACCCACTCCAGTGAACTGTTGAATTTATTTACCTCTTTAAAGACCCAATCTCTACATGCAGTCACATTCTGAATTACTGGGGGGTTAGGACTTCAGCATATAAATTCTGGAGGTTACACAACTAAGCCCATAATAGGTTCTCAGACAAAACCTGTGTTTGGAGAATCAGACATGGTAATGAAAGAGGATTGAGTTAACTTATTTCTGGTATGTGCTGAAATAGCTGCATTTCTCCTAAATCTTAAAGAAAAAGATATGGTTTCCTTTTATAATTAGTGCCAACTGTGATGACTTAAATACCTTCTCACGGATTGTTTAGCACATTCTCTCGGTCTTTGTAGACCACTGGGCTTCCTCTTATTAATATTCATGTGATTGTGTTCTCCTTCTTTAAGAAGAGTATTTTAACTTCTCTTCACCTTGGTAAATTTTGGGGAAAAATGCAATAAAAACAAACACGAGGTATTGTTGGTTCTCTGCAATTTCCTTTCTCTACTTTCTGTGTGATATCTAATAGGCATCGATTTCTGTGCACACATTTTGTAACTAGGATGGTTGGAGGCACTGCCTCCTTGACTGAAGCAGCTACAGACCAAGCCACAAGTTCTTCAGAAGGGATTAGCACCTCTCTCCCTGGACACAGTTGGAGCACTTGCAAAGATGAAGCTGTGGGAAGGAGGTGGTCAATGAGAGAAGGGGCCCATATGGGGATGAAAAGGGTGCTGCCTGCCGCAGGCTACAGGCTCACTCAGAGGCAGCAACTTGAGCTTTTCTTGCCCTTACCAGTGAGAGAGGTTTATTGCTGTGTGGAATTCCACTGATGTTTTTATATTATGCAAATTTTGGATGAGCTCGTTACAAGGCTCTAAAACTAAGAAGGTTTGTGAATGTTTTCCAGTCTGTGTGTCATAGGGAATCTCACCCCATGAAAAAGCTCTTTGTTCCCCTGGCGAATTACCATGATCAGGATGGGGAATGACCACTGACAGCCTCAAGAATAAATTCTGAAGCCAGAGAGTTCTTTTTGAACCTTGGTGCTGGGTCAAGACCTGTGGTGTGAGGGCATCCATGGATGAAGCAGTCTTGCAATTCCATTTGGGCATCTCATGTGCTTACTTATGAAATCTCCAGGGCTTTTGACTTCCACCACCCTAGGCTAAGCACAAAGAGAATGGGCTCTGGACTCAGACATGGCCTGAGCCACAATTTGTTGTGTGACCTCTTGGAGCTTTGATTTCCTTGAAAATAGGAATAATAATAACTCTTTAATGGCTTGGCTCCTAGAATATTCAATAAGTACTTGTGGACACGATGTTTTCTTTCTTACCTCAGGTCAGCCTGTCTCTGCTCTGTGTCCTTTTTATCTCCACGTCTTATTAAAAACACTTCCTAAAGATGATTTTTCATTTTTTTTTTCAAGATTTATTTATTTATTTTATACAAGCACTGGATACAGCCAGAGGTGCAGGAGGGTGAGAGAATTCACCAGAGACAGAGCAGAGAGCAGAACAGGCAAACCGATGAAGTACACTGCTGAGGGGAGCAGCGGGCGCGGCCATGTGGGACCCTTGCCCAGCGGCCAGGGATTGAACCGGTGCTGCAGAGGCTGTGGACAGCTTCACAACCCAGCACTCAACTGCTATGCCACAGGGGAGGCCCAATTTTTCATCTTTTAATATCATATCTTCAAGAAAATTTAGGATACTGTAAACTGTTTCAGAACTATCTTTATTTATTTATTTATTTATTTATTTATTTATTTAAAAATGTTGGTGTAGGGTAAGTGGTTTTTCAGGCTTTTCTGCCCTCCCACCATTAGGATTGCCCTGCCTGATAGGGCACCTGCAGTTGTTACATTGTTGAAAACTGTCTTATTTACTTCCTAGGCCATGGCAGGAGTATTGAGATAGTCACCAAGAGAAGCAGGAGCAGGAGAGAAAGAAGGCCAGAGAAGCCCAGAGTGAAGATTTTCAGGGGGCTTGGAGGCCTGCAGGCTTCCTGGCCCCCTGGCACCCCTGCCTGTGGTGTGTACCTGGTTGCTGTAATACACATAAAGCTCAATAAAAGCCTGAGAAACCCATTGAGGGCTCCAGGACTCCTCATTTACCCCTCTGCTGGATCATCAATTCCTGCTCAGTGGCCCATCCTGCCTCTACAGTTGGCTATATATATATATATATATATATATATTTTTTTTTTTTTTTTTTTTTTTAAGATTTACTTATTTATACAAGAACCGGGGTACAGGCCAGAGGCGCAGGAGGGTGAGAGGATTCACCAGAGACAGAGTGGGGAGCAGAACAGGCAAACTGACGAAATACACTGCTGAGGGGAGCAGCAGGCGAGACGGGAGAGGTCTGCTGTGCCATGTGGGATTCTCGTCGGCTGGCCGGGATCAAACCCACACTGCAGAGTCTGTGGACAGCTTCACAGTGCGGCGCTCAACCTCCTGTGCCACCAGGGAGGCCCTATTTATTTTTTTAAATATTTATTTATTTATGCACACAAGAGCTGGGGTACAGGCCGGTGATGCAGGGGGTGAGAGGATTCACCAGAGACAGAGTGGGGACCAGAATACAGGCAGACTGACTGAAATACACTGCTGAAGGGAGCAGCGGGCGAGATAGGAGAGGTCTGCTTCGCCATATGGGTTGCTCCCTGGCCAGCAGGGTATCAAACTCATGCTGCAGAGGCTGCGGATTGCTTCATAGTGCGGTGCTCAACCCCTTGGGCCACCAGGGAGGCCCAGGACTATCTTCAAACTTTGTCTCTAAACATGAAGAGAAAGTTCTGTGACCTCCTAAAAGAATTTTAAGTTATTAAGTAGAAATAGATGCCAAGATGTTGGTGGTCCCACCAGAAGCAGGGTCTGTTGGTCACCATATAGTTCTGCCTGAGTAAGAGGTGTATCTGGCTGCTATAATCATCATTTTCATCATCATAGTCATTGTCACCATCTCTTCCTGCTCTTTCTTCCTCTTGCTCATGATCATCATCTGCAATCATAATTGTCTAAGTAGTTATCCTGTTAATGGGTCACTTGGAACAAGGGAATGGATAGAAGGGCAACTGCTTTCACAACTTCAAAACTGTTGAGATTAGTAGGTTGTCATTGACACATTCCACTTGATAATGATCAATCTTCCCATCCCTATTATCCACGCTGTCACTCAATCTTTGGAAATAGCTTGGTTGCTCTTTGTATTCAGACAAAAGCTATTCAAATGCTGGTTCTGTATTACTAATTGTGTGAACTTGGACAAGTTCCTTAATTTCTCTGAGCCTCAGGTTTTTCCCACACAAGATAAAAATCATAAATAAATGAAAACATTGCCGAAGTGTTGCAAGATTAAATAAAAATAATGTGTTGAGAGCAGTTAGCACATTTCCAGACACAAATAAATAATCAATTGTAGTTATTATTGTTGTTAATATCGATTCTAATGTAGTATAAATAAAAGCTCTCGTATAACATCTAACAGAGAAATACTCAGAAAGTAGTGTTAATGGTTGTTATTTTTATTATTTTCTTTTTATAGGAATGTCTCTAAACTTAACATAAATCTTCCATCCACCCTGTACATTAAAAGAGTTGAATTTAACCAAGTCTAAGTTGCTGACACCCAATAAAAATGAGTCTTTAATCCACAGTTCCAATGTCAGCAATTACTCGGGATTTGCTCATGTCTACCCTTCCTTTTGCCCCTCCATTCTGCTCTGCTCCTTGTCTTCCGATTTCTGATTTTTCACTTGGGCTTGCACCCTGAGATCTGTACTCACCTCTAAGATCTGGCACCAGCTGTATCCTTCAGTTTTAATCTTGGGCCTCTCTGAACGTGGTTGAACATTATCTTCTGACTTCTCTACACTACCCTCCAGGCTTCTGCTTTTTCCTGGCTTCTGTTGAACTCTGAGCTTCCCAAGGGTGCCTTGGACAAAATCTATCCATTGTCTGTATTTGATTATTAGGCAACACTTGATCAATCAAATTGCGTTCTTATTTGTTATCTCAAAATGATTATTTGGCATGAAGTTTCATCCTGAATCCTAAATTTCTGCTCCTTAGATCTTCTGCACTACTTGGCTTATAAGAGGGTTCTGAGATCAACTCGTACCTTTTCTACATGGGGAGAAAACTGCTTGCAATCCCCTATTCTTATAATATTGGCAAATTTCTTCTCTATTCCGACTCTGTCACTCTCTGGCACCTATTTTTATGAAGATTGCTTTATAGGACCTGGCCTAATGATTAAGAGGATCATTAGTCCAATGGGTAGAGCACACTGAAGCACATTTGGCATAACTATTCTGGATCTGTGCCAAAACGTCTAGAGAGGAGAGACCACAGTTCTTGCCAAAGCTCAGAGTCCCAATGCTGGCCCATGAATCCCATTAGTTAAAGGGTTTAGCCAGTCCTAATTTTAATGAAAAGTTTGACCGAAGATTTGCTTGATGTCTACACTACTTCTTACCACTTTGAATTCAACCATCTTTCATAATTTTAGACCAAAGTCTGTTTAATATAAACACTTGAGCAAATTCTTATCATAGTAAACTCAGTAACTAAGCAGGTAGGATTGTAAACCGTGATCTTCTTATACAGAGACTACCTGATAACAATTAGTAACCTATGGTCATGCTGTGTGTGTGTTTTGGGATCTGAATAGATTTGTATTCTATGAAGAGAAGCAGACAGGTAGAAAGTGTTAAAAAGAAAACACACTTGGGTAAAAATAACCCCATGTTTATTTCAGGGTCATATAATCAGGCAAAAAGATGGTCTTTTAGCTGCTTCGATGCTTTCTGAAAACTTTCAAGCTACAAGCAGAGTGATTCTGGTTAGTGTGGTTAAAACGCTGGAGAGGATGATGGGTTTCATTAGCCAGGCAGGAGTGATAATATGCCGCAATACTTCTCCAGTTATTGGGTACTTTATATTAATAACTCATGATGGCTGGAGTGTTTAGGTGTATATTTCAAACTCAGTGTAAAATACCATGCCATTAAGAATTTAAACACATTCTAATTTAATTATGGCCAAGAGCTGATTCCAAGCATTCCCCGTGTTTTTGTTGGCTAGGTTCAGTATTGCAAATTTCAAATATGGAAAGATTTATTTTCTTTTACTCTTTGCTCCTTTTATTCTGGATAGTTAAAAACCTTAATCATTTAAAAGAGCATACAGTTGGAAAATGAAGTGCAACTGAAGTTATGGAAAATCCTAGTTTTCTTCAATACTATTTTGTTTTCCATTTTGAAATGTGCCAGATTTTTTCTTGCCCGTGATATATTGATTACTCACAAGTTTTCTTTACCTTCTCTTTGTCCTTAAATGACTTTTCCATTCCTCCAACAGTTACACTGTATAATTTTTTTTAACATGGTCTAAAATGGAGAAAAATCTACTACTTATAATATTCATTAGAATCTACTACTTGTAATATTCTAAACGTAGTATGAAGTAAACGTAGATGATTTCCTGAGTCCTATCTGTGGGGGGGTCCCTGTGCAATGACTTAGGAAAGAAACTAAAAAGGGTGTTAAGGACAAATGATAACAAATAATATTTGTCTCATGTGTAAACTCAATACACTCTTGAACACCCCCTTTTTGAAGGATTTTGATAGCTAATTTAGGCAGACAAGTTTGTATACCAATATTTTAAGAAAATAAGGTGGGAGAGAGGAGGGAGGTGTTCCTTGAGTTGGAATACCCTGAATTTGTTGGCCATGACTTGTCAACTTCTTGGAAAGGGTTCACAGAGATATCTGGGGAACTGGTGCAAGATGTGACTCTAATATCTACGCATAGATTATATACCTGATGGCACCTTTTAGAGCCAATTCTCTTTAGTTCTCTGCCACCTTTCACTCCAGGGACCTCACAGTCTCCAAACGTAGTAGACAATAGGGTCCTGAAGTCTCAGAATGCTCTGTAACTCTCAATTGGTAGGAACAATGGAATAAAGGACCCCTCTCCTCAAAGGTGGGATGGTGTGTCCTAATAACTTTGTATTATAATATTGAAATTTAGTAAACTTATACTATTCCATTTGGAAAAGGACAAGCATACCAATTCAGTTTTCTTATATAAACTACAAAATGAAAAATCAGCAATTGTTTGTGTGGGATATGATGATGAAAGAAGCCAAAGGAGTCAGATGTGGGTTTAGTGGGATACTGCTATGTGGATTTATGTACATCTTAAATACATATGTCAAAACGTGCATCTTTTTGAGGAATCTTTCTTGCTTTGATAATTTTGAGTGGCAAGGTATCCTTTTCAGGGAAGTGTGTGACCGAAGACTTACCCTCCGGAAACAAGGACACCTATTTCTCTAGTCCTTCCACTTTAAATGTACTCCTTGGCTTGCCTGCATTGGGGTATTAGAGCTGGACACCACGCAAGTCACAGGCTATTTGAGATGGTTGAAATATCTATGACACTTGTCAAATCATTTTTCAAAAACTCCAAAAATAATATGAAAACACTAAGTTAATATTGAAGAGTTATTTATTGACATGTTTCTCTCCCATTAGTCTGTAAGACCCTCCAAAAGCCAACTGGAGAGCTAATACCTTCCTCAGAGCAAGCTCATCATCAGTGTTGAATAAATGAATTAATAAACAACTGGTTTTAAAGGGGAGGAACCAGATGAAACTGTCCACACATGATACTGCGATACTGGGAGAGGTTATTTCCCATGAAAGTATGGGGTGCAATGACTTAGGAAAGAAACTATAAGGGGTGTTACAGGACAAATGATAACAAATAATATTTGGCTCATGTGTAAACTCAATCACAGAAGACTTTTTTTTTTTAATTGTTGCTAGTTTTTTTTTTTTTTTTTAAAGATTCATTTATTTATTTATACAAGCACTGGGTACAGTCAGAAGCACGGGAGGGTGAGAGAATTCACTAGAGCCAGAGCGGGGAACAGAACAGGCAGACTGATGAAATACACTGCTGAGGGGAGCAGCCGGCGCAGCAGGAGAGGTCTGCCACACCATGTTTGACCCTGTCCTGCAACCCCAGCATCCTTCCATGTACTCTTCAGCACCCCCAACTCTT